AAGTGCGCAACATAGTAAATTTTACGCTCGGCAGAACCCTTTAATCTCCCATTTGCTTAAAAATTAGAGCGAATTGACCTCTTATAAAATTTAAAGGTAAGATTATTATCTAGGCAATGACATAGGCTTTTTATTATAATTTAATTTAAAGCGAGTTATGTGTATTTTAAAATTGTAAACTGTTTGTACATCTTAAAATACTCATAATACACTTTAAAATTAAACTATAATGAAAAGCCCATGTCATTGTTTGGATAATGATATTACCCTTAAATTTTATAAGAGGTCAATTCACTCTAATTTTTAACTAATGAGTAATAGGAGATAAACGTGTCCTGCTGAGCTTTGCTATGTTACACATTTGTAAGACGGAGACAACAAATGCAACTGTAACGGCCCCTTAAGTCTTTACTTTTACAAAAATAGGTATTGTACGATATTATTATAATTTTTGTTTTTATTGTATCTTCGATTTATTATTGATAGATAATACCTTTTAATAGTTAATACTAACCACGGACCACGAGGCACGAATTAAGATATTATTCTGGATATGGTCATATGGAACGCACTAACGCAGTGCCTCATCAACTCATATTTCGTGGCAATAACTTTTTACGTTTCGACTTACGGCTAGACCGCTAGCGCTTTATAGGATTGCTCTGTGTGCTCTGTGTTAACCGTTAGAATAAGGAACTAATAGTTCATTATTCTCCCGGTTAACACAACAATCCTATAAAGCGCTGTGTTTCATGACATTCTAAGAAGGTTTGACTATCAACTGATGAGCGCCCGTTCCGTATCCAGTATATTATCTTAATTCGCGAAGCGGACTAAAATTTTATAGCTTCTACGATTAGGCGTTTATTCATGTGCATATTATGTAAGGATCAAAATGCCGGAAAAATTAGGGAAAATTTCAGAAAAAAACGTTTTGTTTCCCAGAGCCTCGGAAAACGTGGAAAAATAGAGAATATTAAAATAATACATTTCCGAAAAATACCGAAGTTTTTGGTCAAAAACCGAATTTTTGAAAAATTAAAAAATTGTATTTACTTTTAATAATTAAAATAATCTATAACAGATAAAACTTTTTAGATATTCAAAGAAAAAAAGGTGGGTAAGTGGATGTCGCTCTGCTGTACAGTAGGTTACAAGTGGGTCACTGTATAATGGATGCTATTAAATTTGAATTCAATGATAAAATATCATTGTATAAGAAAAACGATTCTGAGCGAAGACGGTATGTCAGTCTAGGTTTAAGACAAATTATATACATATCTATGGTATTAAAAAAAAAAAATTGACCTATAATAAATTCCAAATTAATCATATCACAATATCCACTAAGTACTTATAACACGTTATACATCAATAACAAACCCTGATACTATCATTGATATATAATATAGTGTACTTTAGAAGTTTCAAGTACCCACGAATTATAGTATTATACACTCACAACAAAATAACTAAAATAGGTATGCTAGGTTTTTTAATATGTAATTTCGTCCCAAATTTGAACTTAAAATGTCTGTAAAAAATAACTGTACTCATATATTTTTTAGATTTTTTAGCTACAGTATGAAATATTTATGAGAATCTTTTTCTTAAATTTTCAATCCTTAGCTATAAAAACTGAACATTTTATAATTTATTAATTACGATGGTTGATAATTTTCAAGATTTTGATAAATTTTGTCAAAATGCGATCTTTAAATGCATATAAAAAAAAATTGTGCCTATGTATTATTAATATTTTTCAATTGATATTGTAACAATATATCAGGAGCACTGTATTAATTTTTCACACTTTTTGGCCCAACAGATAAAACTTTATTAATATTTATAGAAAAAAAAACGGCTCAAAAAGAGTCAAAATATTTTCAAAATTGTATGGTGTATAGGAAATGCTAATATAAACATTCAGTGAAATTTTCATGTATCTATAGTTATTCGTTTATGAAAAACAACAAAATAAGGAAATCGCTACATGAGAAATCGAGTGAACATCCAATGTTGTAAAAATTTGAATTTCAAACGCTCATAAAAATTTAATTTGACTGTCCAGTAGAGATTTTTTTATTGATAAAGGTAGACAAACTTATGAGTAATCTTGTATTATATTTTCAAATCTTAGATTTAAAAAGAAAAATTTTTGCGAATTCTTAACTCAAAATAATTTGCTAATTTTCGTGATTTTTCCATATTTTGTCAATTTTTGAACTTTAAATGCTTATAAAAAAAAACTTTGACCAACGATTTTTAATATTTTTCATCTGCCTTTGAAACAATATACTAGGAGTCTTCTATTAAATTTTCAAGCTTTCGCAACCAACAAATAAAATTTTATTGATATTTCTAGAAAAAAAACTAAAAAAAAATGAAAAATGAAAATGTCCCTAAACAGTTCAAAATAAATCAAAATATTTTGAAAATGTTATCGTGTATAGAAAATGCAAATATAAACAACCAGTGAAAATTTCATGTATCTACGGCCATTTGTTTAAAAGTTACACCAAAAACCAAATTCGATTTTGTCAAAAACCGATTTTGCGTAAAAATTCCTGTTTTTCCTTAATTTTTATGTTGTTTTTCCTGGCGCTTGTGAAAACTATTGGGAATTTTAAATTTTGACCTCCCCAATGCACCAACGATATTCACTTTCCAATCGAACAAGATACTGAAGTCGAAAATCGAAGCATTATTTCGACTACTTATCGTGTACACAGACACAAAAAAATAAATATAAAAATAAAAAAATAAAAAAAAAAAAAACACACATCATTGTAAAATCAATACATTCATCGTTTCACTCAGAATCTAAAATATAAAAACATACATCATTGTAAAACCAATACATTCATCGCTCCGCTCAGAATCTAAAACTAATAAAATTGGAAACTGAAAATGTCCCTAAACAGTTCAAAATAAATCAAAATATTTTGAAAATGTTATCGTGTATAGAAAATGCAAATATAAACAACCACTGAAAATTTCATGTATCTACGGTTATTTGTTTTAAAGATACACCAAAAACCAAAATCTATTTTTTTGAAAACCGATTTTGCGTAAAAATTCCCGTTTTTCCTTAATTTTTATTTTGTTTTTCCCGGCGCTTTTGAAAACTACTGGGAAATTTAAATTTAGACCTCCCTAATGCACCAACGATATTCACTTTCCAATCGAACAAGATACTGAAGTTGAAAATCGAAGCATTATTTCGACTACTTATCGTGTACACAGACACAAAAAAAAAAAAAAAAAAAAAAAATAAAAAAAAAAACACATCATTGTAAAATCAATACATTCATCGTTTCACTCAGAATCTAAAAGGTGGGTAAGTGGATGTCGCTCTGCTGTACTGTAGGTTACAATAGTGGCCAGTGGGTCACTGTATAATGGATGGTATTAAATTTGAATGCAATGATATAATATCATTGTATAAGAAAAACGATTCTGAGCGGAGACGGTATGTCAGTCTAGGTATAAGACATATTATATACTTTTCTATGGTATTAAATTATATGGAAATTATGAATAAATTCCTTAAAATATGCTCAGTCTTATCATGAGCATAATTCTCATTCCTTATACTATGGTAGATTGTATGGATAGGCCATAATATTTTGATATTTCAGTTTCATATATCCCCGAATAATATTTTTAAATTACAACAAAACGTAATTTCGTCCAAATTTGAATTTAAAATGTCTGTAAAAAATAACTGTGTTCATATATTTTTTAGATTTTTTGGTTACAGTATGAACTATTTATGAGAACCTTTGTTTTAAACTTGAAATCTTTAGCTATAAAAACTGAACATTTTATAATTTATTAATTACAATGATTGATAATTTTCGAGATTTTGATCAATTTTGTCAAAATTCGATGTTTAAATGCTTATAAAAAAAAATTGTGCCTATGTATTTTTAATATTTTTCAATTGCTACTGTAACAATATATCAGAAACCTTGTATTAAATTTTTACACTTTTTGGCCCAACAGATAAAACTTTATTGATATTTATAGAAAAAAATTGAAAACTGAAAATGTCCGTAAACAGCTCAAAAAGAGTCAACATATTTTCAAAATTGTATGGTGTATAAGAAATGCTAATATAAATATTCAGGGAAACATTCATGTATCTACAGTTATTCGTTTTTGAATTACAACAAAATAGGGAAATCGCTACATGAGAAATCGAGTGAATATCCAATGTTGTAAAAATTTGAATTTCAAACGCTCATTATAAAAATTTAATTTGACTTTCTTATAGACATTTTTTTTTGATAAAGGTAGACAATCTTATGAGTAATCTTGTATTACATTTTCAAATCTTAGATTTAAAAAGAAAAATTTTTACGAATTCTTAACTCAAAATAGATTGCTAATTTTTGTGGTTTTTCCATATTTTGTCAATTTTTGAACTTTAAATGCTTATAAAAAAAAAACTGTGACTAACGATTTTTAAAATTTTTCATCTGCCTTTGATACAATATACTAGGAGCCTTCTATTAAACTTTCAAGTTTTTTTAACCAACAAATAAAATTTTATTGATATTTCTAGAAAAAAAACTAAAAAAAAATGAAAATTTCCCTAAACAGTTCAAAATAAATCAAAATATTTTGAAAATGTTATCGTGTATAGAAAATGCAAATATAGACAACACGTCATGCGGGTGCGACTTACTTTTGAGCACGGACTATTATACTGGACTGGAAACGAGACGTTTACCACCGGGCCGCTTAGTGTCCGCGTGAGAGGTGTAGTAAGGGGGAATTGTACATGAGCTAATCTAGCGCCATCTATACTTCAAACTAACTATTATATATTATGATATTATGATTATTATACATATAAATAGCTTCATTAGGTACTATAATAACTATAAAAAAATAATAAGTGATTTATTCACGGACTATTATGTGTTACTAGTTAGCACTATTACTAGTGTTTTATAGCAAATCAGACTGACTTATAAGTTTATGGCATAAAAATGCGTAAATGTTCAGTGTCTGGGTGTAACAGCCAAAATCGTAATATTAAAGTGACACTTTTCAGTGTCACAAATGCGAATAAGTCATCTTGGGAATCAGCAATCCATAGTTCAATTAATAATCAGGTAAAAGATATAAAGTATGTTTGCTCAGAACATTTTTTACCTGAAGATATTAATACTACATATCCAATACCATCAGATGTAATCGAAGTAAGAGTTAAAATAAATAGGTTTTTAAAGGAATTTGGTATTAAAATTAATTTACGTTAAAGGAATTCGGACAGAAAAAAGTGTTCTCATTGAAGAAGGGGGCTATTCCCTCATTATTCAACCAAATACTTTCTCGTAGTGATAGTACTCAATATGAACCAAAAACTCACTCTGCTAGAAGAGAACTTTTTACAGCAGAAGTAATTACTGAAAATATATTGATTTTATATTTATATTAAATATTAATATACGTAGTTATTTAGGTATTTATTCTAAAATGTAATTTACAATAATAATAAATTACTTTGGCGTAGTGCGTAGCGTACCACGGTTAATACGTTTGAAAGAATAGTATGCCTGTGGTACACCAGGCTGCGCTAGATTAGCTCACGTACTATTCCCCTTTCTACACCTCTCTCGCGGACACTAAGCAGACCGGTCCCCCGTCACCCGCCTCCCTTGACGTTTCCAGTCCAGTATAATAGTCCGTGTTCTGTGGTATAATCAAAGTTAATTATTTTGGTTAACCAGAAGTATACCGTCCCAGTGACCCCTACTACCATTTACATTTTACCTTTCTTTCGGCGGCGGGACGGGTGGCACATCGTGCTTTTGTGCCACTATCCACTACCCAAATCCAGTATCCACATTCGAGTATTCGATGCGTTTGTTGTGTGAACACTGACTGAAAACGATTTTCGTCCGAGTAATCGTAAAGATAATTGTCAAATATTGGTATTGTTATTAAATATTTATTATCGTTGAACGAGCAACAGCCTTTTTGTCTTATGCTACGTTGCATGGGGGTCCGTTGACGGATTCACCTGTTGGCGTGTCAGTTTTTCGTCGTGTACTCACATTAAACCTTGTAAAACTATAATTATTTTCCACGTTACATAATAATTTATAGTTGAGCTCTAGTGCCGTGCTATTTGCGAAAATCGGTAATATCGTAATAATCCATGAACTGATACGAACGCTAAACAAACTTCAAAAATCATGGCAGCCAGCGATTCAAAGGCGCCAATCCGAACTGTCAAACGTGTGCAGTTTGGTATATTATCTGCAGACGAATGCGTTAGTATACACGAATTATTGTATAACCTTTATTATTGTACTGATCATTTTAACCCTGCAACATTTATTTACTATGCTATCATTTCAGCGGCGTATGTCCGTCACCGAAGGGGGCATTCGTTTTGCAGAGACGATGGAAGGTGGACGCCCCAAGCTTGGTGGGCTCATGGACCCCCGACAAGGGGTTATTGATCGGTTCTCAAGATGTCAAACATGTGCAGGTTGGTGAAAGTGTTCAAGTCTTCAATTGTGTGTTTTATTTTTATTCTTATTAATTTTTATTTATCTAACAGGTAACATGACCGAATGTTGTGGCCATTTCGGCCATATTGAACTGGCTAAGCCTGTATTTCACATAGGATTTCTAACTAAAGCCATAAAAATTTTACGTTGTGTCTGCTTTTACTGTTCCAAATTATTAGTTAGCCCTGTAAGTACAGTGTATATTGAACGTAATAATAAAGTAATATATTAATATTATACAGGTATTACCTAAACTGTATGACATACAACACACTGTGTTTATTCCTACTGTAATATATATATATATTTTAATAGACTCATCCCAAAGTAAAAGAAATTGTTATGAAATCAAAAGGACAACAGAGAAAACGTTTAGCTTTTGTTTATGATTTATGTAAAGGCAAAAATATTTGTGAAGGAGGTGATGAATTGGACATCAATAAAGATAATGTTAATGATTCCAATATGCCTGTAAGATTAATTGAGATGCAATACACTAATTTATAAGATTACAGCAATTGTTTATAATGTCCACTATTTTAATAGCCAAAGAAACAAGGTCACGGTGGTTGTGGTCGTTATCAACCAACTATAAGACGTGTTGGTTTGGACTTAACAGCCGAATGGAAGCATGTCAATGAAGATTCTCAAGAGAAAAAAATACCACTTACGGCCGAAAGAGTCTATGAAATTTTAAAACACATTACTGATGAAGAAGTTGTAATTATGGGAATGGACCCCAAATTTGCACGTCCTGATTGGATGGTACTGACAGTTCTACCTGTTCCTCCTTTGCCTGTACGTCCAGCAATTGTTATGTTTGGATCAATGAGAAATCAAGTAAGTTCATCTATGTGACTAAAGTACCCACCCATACAATTTTTAATTGTGCTTTTGTATTATAGGATGATTTGACTCACAAACTGTCTGACATCATAAAGTGTAATAATGAATTAATTCGTAATGAACAGTCTGGTGCTGCCACACATATTATAGCTGAAAATATTAGAATGTTACAATACCATGTTGCAACTTTGGTTGATAATGATAGTCCTGGTCTACCAAGGTAAATTTATATTTGTTTAATTTATAGAATACCTTTATTTATTGAAAGAAAATTTCATTATTATTTAAATGCTTTTTATAACTTCAATTATTAATTTTGACTTCCAAAATTTGATAAATTTACCTATGGAAGTAGGTATTGTTTTGACATTATAATATTTAACTGGGATGGTTTTTTTTTTTATTTTGTCAATTTTAACCTTTTATTACTGTATTGTAATATGATTAGGTATACATATTACCTGGCTATATTGGCATTAGATAAATCACTTAATAAAATAGAAATAAAAAGAATGTATCTATAAAAGTGTTAGCAGAATGTTAACTATAGGCTCAAAATAGTGTTTGCAATATGAGGGGGCTGAAGATTTTGGTGTAGAATGAAAATATTTTCATAGATTCCAATTTTGGAGGGCTAAGTGCTTATGTTATAAACGGTGTTTGAAGCTTTCGTGTGTATGTGATAACATTTATCTTAAAGTTACCTAAAACAATATTCAATTTTAAATTCTGTTTTTGTTTTTTTTTAATAAGAAGAAAGCATTAATATATGCTGTTACAGAAATAGTCAAAAGGTTAATATTGTATATAATGTATAGTTTATACTACATACTTGATTAATTGAATTGTTTTAGACTAAATAATGTAAACTGTAAAGTTAAAATTAATGCACATATTTCTTAATTCTAAAATCTATTGATTATAATCAAACATATTATATTTAACTCTCCAACTCACATTATGCCTGTACAAATTTGAAATTTAATTTTTATCTTTTACATTGTATAGTATATAATTAAACTTTGTTCTAATTTTTAGAGCAATGCAAAAGTCTGGCAAGCCTTTAAAAGCAATTAAAGCTCGTTTAAAAGGTAAAGAAGGCAGAATCCGAGGAAACTTGATGGGAAAGCGTGTGGATTTCTCTGCTCGTACTGTTATAACACCTGATCCTAATTTACGAATTGATGAAGTTGGCGTGCCTCGTACTATTGCTCAAAACATGACCTTTCCAGAGATTGTTACTCCATTTAACATTGATCAGTAAGTATAAAAAAAATAATAATTCCGTTATATATTATCCAGCATGATTCACGAGGTATGCTCACCCCACCCCCTTTTTGTCTTTAATAATGCAGTTATCTAAAATTTGATTTTTGGAGTTTTTAATTATAGGTTAGGTTAGATCATATTTTCAGGTTCTTGGGGGTTTTTGTACTACTTAAGGAGTGTACTGTGGAATATAAACTACTACTTTTCAAATGGAAACTCTCTTACTCCATATTTTAAACCTTATTTACTGTAAATCATTTAGTTTTTCTGGAAATGTTGACATAAAAAAATTAATATTCAAACTAGTAATTATTGATTTATTTAACTTTGTGTATAAAGAATAATAATTTCATGATAATGAATTTGAAAGATATGGGGGCTATGGTCATTTAAAATTGTGTGTAATTTATATTGATCTGACATTATACTTTGTATTAATGGTCCGAGTAACTTAAGTAAATAATATAATCAATATCATATATATTTTTTATTTTAAAACTATTTTTAAGGACTATTATCCATATAACAAACATTTAAATAACTGAAAAATACTCGTTCAACATTTTGAACTTAGTACGTCAATGTTTTCAAAAAAATTATCCACTAAGTAGTTTATTGTAATAAAGGATGGTTCTCATTTGAAAAATAGAAGGTTGGTTGTCATAAACACTCTTTGTGTAGCACGCTCAAATTTAATAATTTGAAAATATGGTCTGAGTATATTTAAAAATTTAAAAAATCATAATTTGAATAAATTCATTATTTAAGGGGAAAATGGGGGTGAGTATACTTGGTGAGGAATCACCATATATACTTATGTCGTAAAAATTGAATCAATTAATCAAGAGTATATGGTCCTTGAAATATGATTTAGTGACCCTTAATTAGTCCATAGTTCCATACATTTATCGACTTTTTTGTAATTCGGCATTAATAAATTTTGTATTTGTTAGAATGCTGGAATTGGTTCGCCGTGGTAATTCACAATACCCTGGAGCCAAGTACATCATACGTGATAATGGTGAAAGAATTGATTTACGTTTTCATCCCAAACCTTCAGATTTACATTTGCAATGTGGTTATAAAGTTGAAAGGCACATAAAAGATGGTGACTTGGTAGTTTTTAACAGACAGCCTACTTTACACAAAATGAGTATGATGGGTCATAGAGTGAGAGTTTTACCTTGGTCTACATTTAGAATGAATTTAAGGTAAATTTTTAAATTATATCTATTTTGAATAAATAATATCTTATCATAATTATTAGTTGTACATCTCCGTATAATGCTGATTTTGATGGTGATGAAATGAACCTTCATGTTCCACAATCAATGGAAACAAGAGCTGAAGTAGAAAATATTCATATTACTCCTAGGCAGATTATTACTCCCCAAGCTAATAAACCTGTCATGGGAATTGTACAAGACACATTGACAGCCATCAGGAAAATGACAAAAAGGGATGTATTTATTGAGAAGGTAATTCATCTGATAATGTTATTATAATTTATAAACTATCATATTATATTCATTATTAAATAATTTGTAAAACGCAATTCTTGTTAATAATAGCATTTTATTACTGTCTGCTATCATTGGAAGAGAAATTATAAAGGGTAATATATTTTTAAAATACCTTAGTAATTGTGAACCTTATATTTACCAAAATTATTAACTAAATTTAGTTATTTTAAATGGTTTTGTTTTATTGAACCAGTGCTTGTTAATAATAATTTTAATTAACTCCAAAACACTGGTAAATTAATATGATCATGATTTGTATATTGTTGATTTACTTTTTAAAT